TCCCCGTTAGATCACTTTGTCATAACAGTCTCAGAAGTGGAAGAACAACTTAAACCCGTGAACTCCTTCACCTACATCGGTCCGGACGAAATCCACCCCCGTATACTGAAAGTATCCGCAGACGTGTCAGCTGCCACATAGACCCATCTCTTTCAAACGTGCGTGGACACAGGAACCCTTCCATAACAGTGCAAGAGGGTAACTGTTATCCCTATTTATAAGAAAGGCAATCGACACTTGCTTCTAGCTATAGGCCCATCAGTCTAACCAGGATTTCCAGTAAGATCTTTGAGCGCCTCCTTAAACGGCGTATTCTAAGACATCTGACCGCGAACGGCTTGGTACACGCTTCCCAACACGACTCACTACCAAACAGGTCATGCATCTCCAATATGCTGACTTTAATGGATAGCTTAACCCGTGCCTATGACGAAGGTCATATTTCGTACGCGATCTCCATAGACTTCGCANAAGCCTTCGACAGAGTGCCACACATCCCTCTCCTGCACAAACTAGAGAGTGATGGCATCACTGGCCGATTGCTTTCCCTGCTTACTAGTTTTCTGTCGAATCGCTCCTTCGCGGTTCGAATAGGCACATCCGTTTCTTCGCCCACCCCAGTCTCAATAGGAGTCCCACAGGGCTCTGTACTAGGTCCCATCCTATTTCTCATCTATATTAATGATCTCCTTAAACGTCTCGCTATAGAGATTGCCATGTACGCGGATGGGCACAGACGCATCCAAATTGCAGTCGGCGATTGACCGAACAAAACGTGGGTCCATCGACTGGAGCTTGCCAATCAATGACGATCTTCGTCCGCTCCAACTTCTTTACGTACAGAATGGAACAAACTCCCACTAGAGTTTGTAAACTCCTCCTCCAAAAAGGTCTTCAAAACCCTGCTAGACTCACACCTAGGTCTTACCATCCCCCGATCCTAATTGGCATCCAACGTCTGAAGGACACACCCACGTCATCCCGCTTATTGCTGTTACTTCTCCTCTCACATCCTCGCTTTCCTATAGATTTTTTCTTCCGATGCATACACCCTTAACCCAGCGGCACCATATTGGAGCCAGCTCTCACTTCTGTCAATATCCCTTTCAGTTCGTGAACAAAACTGAAGAAAAGATCCCAAATCCGGATCCGGGAATATTGGGTGCAAGCCTCAAACCCGAGTACTACTTCAAGACTTCAACACCATCTGCATATTAACAGTCAATCACTGCAAGGCGATTGGGAAATTGGTTAATATACATTAAAAAGAAAAATGAGGAGAATATTTCACCTTAAAGAACACCAGAAGCACCCGGGCGAGTGGAGTACGTTTTGCCGTTGAAGCACGTAAACTGCCTTCTGTTTATGAAATAATCGCAAATCAATCTACTAACATTCGGATTAACATTTTCGGTGATCAGGTTAAGGAATGCTGATCAATTCAGGCTGCTGAAAGCGTTTTTGCAGACTAAGAACACCATTTAGACGGTCTTATTTTTCGTATCTAGTGCCGACATTATTCAATGAACAAGGTATGCAACGGCATCGGGTGTTGAGCGTGAAGAGTGATAAGCAAATCGATGTATATCGTCTTCTTCAGACTCAGAGACAAACCACGGTAATAAGCATCTCTCAACTAATTTGAGCATGACTGACGTGCAGGCGATGGGACGATACTTCCCTTGTTCGTTATTTGGAAAGGGGATTATTTTGGCCATTCTTCAAATATCGGGGATTTTTCCGCTTGTCAGACAGGCATTGAATATTTTAGACAATGGGGCTGTAAGGGTGTCCGCACATACCTTGAGTACCACAGGTGATAGTTTTTCAGGGCTCGATGCTTTACTCAACTTTGTTTTCAATAGCTGTTTCAGGGCTGTGGCGGGTTTGACAGTTGGTATTGGGATAGAGGTAACTAAGTCTGGCAGAGCAATGCACTGTGAAACTGGACTAAACTCAGGATTTGGTCTTTCAACATCGACAATTTCCTTTTTGTGTTTATTGCTACTGCCACACAATCGGTTGATAACCGTCCACATGCCACGACAACTAAAATTTCCCGAGATAGTGTCGATGTAAAATTTGTTCAATAGATTTATTTCAGCTTTTATCAAAATTGTTACCCGCTTGCCATGTGTTCCTTGTCTTTATTCATGGGCTTGTTTATCCGTCTGCGTAAATGCCTGAGTAGTATTGATAAATATCGGTCTTTATGGATAAAGACCGTTTATAGTGAACAGTATTGGTCGAAGCAGAAATTATGATAGTCTGTAACGTGTTCCCAGAAGACAGAACGGTTCTGATCGAGAAACACCTAAAAATCTGTGGTGGCAATTATCGATCTTAGCCCTTCTGGGTTCTCTGATGAACACGTTTTTTAACTCACCACCTTGGAAGGTCTTCTTAAAAATGTGTATCGGTTAGTTTTCCTATATACAGTGGGACATACTTTTAAGATACAACGATCTGAAATGATCAGAGGAGCACGTTGATGAACTTCAAAAATTGCGGTCTGTTTTCAGGAGCAAAATTAAAT